GTTACCAAGGCCCTGAGAAAACTGGTACAGCATCCAAAGGAACAGCTTTGTTCCACGGTAATTGATACTGGGACTGGCCTGTCACAGGTTGTTCAGAAATTTTCAAGATAATTTTGGAAACCTTTTCCATTCAATCATAGCCGCAGGGCACAAGGTAAAACCAAACAAGTACTTCAGCCAAAATGAGATTAAGAGAGAACAGGGACTAAGGCCACACGTAGTTTTAATAGCAGACTTTAGGAAATTACCAAGATCAATTTCCAAAGGCGAGGTGTTTTTTTAAAAAAAACCCAGGGTTTCTTACTGTGCTAGAAAGGTGCTGGAATAATGCAACGTGCAAGAAAGGCCACACTGTTATTATGATGAAATAGTCCATGACGACAGTGTTATGCAGATTTGAGTGCAAAAATGAAAGCAGCTTTTTACAAAAGATGGGAGGCGGACATGATATGAATTTGCTTCTTCAAGAGTTATTTTCATGCCAGGGGAAATAAAGGAGGTGACTCAGCAACTCACAAAGGGTGAGGATGTTACTCTTCATTTTAGCCACAAACCAGCCAGCTCATTTCCCTTCTCTTACACACTAACCTAACACATGTGCTCTTTAGGAAAATGGTGCACAAGCAGCCTGAAGGATTAGCGCTGTGTATTCACCTACATGCATGCAAACACACGAGTCAAAAGCATGACTGAGCCTTCTGTGAGGTCAGGTTGCCAGACATCCGGAAATCACTGCCAGTGTACATCAGGGAGAAAGCTTCTTGGACACAAACTTTGGATGGGTAGTTGAGATACTATCAAAATATGCACACATCTCTTGATGTTTTCCTACGGCCAATGGAGCCTAAGGGTCAAACTCAGGCACCCACAAAGCATAAGAAAACAGAAATAGCACGGAAGGTACAGAAAAGAATGTGATACATTATTGCCTCTATACCCCACCCTTCACTCAGAGCAATCTCCTTTCCCTTCCCCTCCCTGTGAGGTAGGTGGGGCTGAGAGGGCTCTTTGAGAACTGCTCTTGAGAGAACAGCTCTGAGAGAACTTGTGACTGAACCAAGGTCATACCAGCAGCTGCATGTGGAGGAGTGGGGAATCAAACCCAGTTTTCCCAGATTAGAGTCTACGCTGTTAACCACTATACCAAACTGACTCTTGTCAGTTGGTTGGGGGCATGGTATGTTAAAACATGTATGTTTTAAACAAATATACGTTTCTGCACCCAGAGCTTGAATTTATAAAGGCATAATGCTGAAGGCAACATTTACAGCCACTTCTTTGTATATATCTGGGGGGTTTGTTGCAAGCATCCACAGAGCCAGAGCGTTTTTAAAACACATGGAGAGGAAGCTTGTGAGCTGCTTGCAGCCTGCTCTGAAGGAAGCCCTTTGTTGGGCAGAACCACTGCCGTGTAGCTATTTCCACAGAAGGCTGCTGCAGAACTACAGTGAGAAGACTTCAATTTTATTGAAATTTTTCAAAGCCACACTCCAAGGCTGAGTGCCAGATTACATTAGTTCTAACAGTATACTGACTGGCAAGAGGCTTTCTTGCAGGGTATGTCATATGCAGTGGAGCGTGTGAGAGAAATAAACACAAAAGAGGGATGAGCATGGGGTCCATATCTGCACAATCTCTCGCGTGTACTACTTGAATGCAAAGGCCAGACCAGACACTGTAAAAACTGCAGACGCTCTGTCTTTTACTCTCTCTTCCTCATAACGTCTAACAAAAACAACAAATGGTGATTCATCATTTGTGCTTCTGTGATTCTCCCAACTCCCACCTCACAGGAAAGATTATGTAGGCAGGGGTGGGGAAAGGCAGAGTGTGATGAAGGCACACCACACACTGTTTGTATTAGACAAGAAGAGTAAGGAAACACAATGCCAGTTTCATGTCACTTACAGCATCTAGTTAGGAAGATCTGTAGCACGCTGGTTATTTTTTCTCTTAGAATTCTTGAAGTTCAAGGTCACCTATCCTTTTCTAGCAGGGCTCCTGAGCCTTTGCAGCCTGCAATACCAGGCAGAAGTTCAGCTTTTCCCATCACTGCCATCTCCATGCATGAAAAAGATCCAGTTGCTGAACATCTACCCATCATGCAGCCATCACAATTACACAAGGACTATCATAAAAAAGAAGAAGCTTTTACTCCTATACTAATTATACTGAGACCATAGTTTGTTACATGGTGGCAGTTTATGCTCTTATCCAAACCCATTTTTTCAGAGCCCCTTATGCACTGATGACATGAAGCTCTGTCCTTGAACTTTCCCTTTCCATTCAATCCCACATCTCCAACTGCCTGTCTGAGGCAGCAATGAGGATTCCAAGCAGATAAGTCAAACTAAATCATTTTCCAAATGTCCCATCTTTCCTCTTATCCCTTCTCTCTTCATATTGTTTTTGTACCCACTGACCCCATCAACATCCACCTTGCTGATCAGATACAAAATCTTGGTTTTATCTTGTAATTCACCCCCCTCTCATTCGCTCCCCATATTCAGTCGTGTTGTGTTACTTCTGCTAGTACAACACTGCAAAACTTACAGCTCTTCTTCCCTGTTCTCTCCTGTTCCCTCAAACTAACTTTCACTTTCTCCCTTGCTGCCTCTTATGCCTGGAAGGCCAACCATGAGTTACAGAATGCCACTTCACACTCTTCCTACAATGCACTCTTCCCAGTTTATGACGCTACAAATATCCTAGAGTTCTGTGGATTTGATGCTCCACTACCAAAAGGCATCACCTTTGATTCCAGAGGACCCCTTGCCCCCCGCCCCATCATGGAACATAATTGAAGGTCTCAGCGGGAAGCACAACTCCTTGCTTGGTGTAGGGTTGCCAGGCATAGCAACCCTACATAGCAAGCAACTAGCAAGAGGCAGGCAGGAACATGGGGAGGAGCTGTCAGCAACAGCACGATGTCACTTCCAAGGGGAATCCAGAAGCAATGTCCCTTTAGGAATCACCAGGAAGTCTATAGTAAAAACCACAGAGTTTCTAGTGATTCCTAGAGAGGACAGACATCACTTCCAGGTTTTTCTTGGAAGTGAGTTCATGCTGTTGCCAACAGCAGGTTTTGCTGTTGTTTTTTAACGCACCATTTTTCTCCCACTGACTGCAAAAGTAGCAGTGGGAAAAGGAAGCCAGGGGCAGGAGGAACTGGTACCCCTAGCTTGGAAGTAGGCTCACACAGGGAGTTTGAGAGAGTAAAATGTGATTCTTGAAAGTCTGACCTGTGTGGACTTCCGGTGAATGGCTGCATGCTGAGCAGTCACACCTCCCGGACCTCCCGGGGGTGAAACTGCGCAGGCAGAAAGAGGAGGGGGGGCCATGTATCGCACTCCCCCCCCCGGGGACTGGCAAAAGCCTCCTGGCCAAGGGCC